GGGAAGGGGAAAAAAATAAGAACCAAGAGACTCATGAAATGGTACAAGATCCCAATGATGAATGTAACTGTATTTTATACCTAAAATGTACCAATAAACTTAATGGGAAAATAAAAATAAAAAATAAATCACTAAGTTGCCCAGAATGGGCTCAAACTTGCTGATCCTCCTGCCTCAGCCTCCCAGAGGACTCGGATTACAAGCATGTGCCACCACACCTAGCTAAAACTCCATTTTTTTTAAAATGGGCAAAATATTTGAATAGACTCTTCACAAAAGAAGATACATGAACGGACAAAGGCTTATGAGAAGCTGCTTATTAGGATTATTCATCGGGGAAATGTGAATTAAAGCTCTGATCAGGTTCCACTCCACATCCGCCAAGAGACCTAAAATTAAACTGACTGACCAGACCATGTTGGAGAGGAGGCGGAACTGTGATAACTGTATGAAATGATTCCGCTTCTTTGGTAAACTGTTCATCCATTTCTCACAAAGCCAACCATATTTCTAAGCTAAGGCCCTACAATTCTACTCCCAGGGATTTACCCAAGAGAAATGCAAGCAGATGTTCACAAAAGGACTTTTGCAAGAATGCTTTTTGTACCTTTATTCATGAAAGACAACACAGAAAATAGCACAAATATTCATTATCAGGAAAATTGAACAAAAAACCCAAATAAACAAGAAAGCTGTAGGGGATCCATGCTATGACCACTACTCAGCAACAAAGACAGACTTCTTATCTGTACAACAGGGATGAATCTCAAGAACTTGTTGAACCCAAGCACGTGAGGGTACGTAATGCATGATTCACCTCCATGCAGTTAGAGATTGGGAAACAAAACCCACAGTTACAGAAATCAGATCCGTCCTGGCCTCCAACAAGTGGAGGATTAAACAGACGGCCGAGCAGAAACTTTCTGGAGTATTTCACATCTTGATCGGGGTGTTGGTTTTACATTTGTCAAAACAACTGGATGTTTGGGATTTAAGCATTACATAAAATGTCAATTTTTCTAGTATATTCTGCACTGTATTTGGAGGGATGTAAAAGACTAAACAAAGAAAAGAGTTTTTCAGGAAAAGAGAGCAGTGGCATGCTGGGAAGGAGGCAACATTTGTGATTGGGAAACATCTGGGACCTTCTTGTTCATTCCCAACTGTGAGCAAATTGTCATTTTCACAATTATTTGGTGAAGCTGCATTTAGATGTTATTCTGTTTTCTGATTTCAAGTTGTATATCAGCATTTTAAAACCATTTTTAAAATTTCCATGGCAGCTTTCTAGTTCTTTGAAGAATGAAATAGCTCTACCACTCTGATTCTAGCAACATTGCTCACCTCCCTCGGCCTCTTTATTCTTATCACCAATTTTCCTGTACATTTCTTTAAAGGAAGCAGATTGATTCTCTTCTCGTCTTTATGTACCTTTCTATCCCACAGCCTTCAGGCTTTAGATTTTCATCAAACAGCTTATCACAATATTTTTTTAATATCTACCTTTTTGGTTTATACAACAGAAGATGACTGATTGAAGGATGGATAGACAGGTAGGTGAGAAAAGGTGGAGGAAAGAAACATTCCTTAAGAACAATGACTTTTCAGGAATCCAGGATAATATGATCCTAATTATATTACTTTCTGTGAGTTGGAAGCTTCTGGTTTCCATGGTGATGTACCACCTCCAGCCATACCTGAGTTGTTCCGAGACCCCTTATAATTGGACTGTGACATTTGATTTCCAATCCCCAATTCACGGCTGAGTGAACAGCCTATCATTTTGACAATGCATTTGATGGTGAAATGGGAAGGGTGATTCATTCCAACGGCACATCACACATACTGGGGGTTGCTAAGCGTTCAGAAAGCAGGAGTGTGCTTTTAGCATTCAGCAGAGCTCACACGACTGTCTGCAGCAGCATGGGGTGGGTAAAGGAGGCATCCCTCTCTGTAGCCGCCTCTGAGGGCAGATTCCTGGAAATACCAGAGGGACCCCTATTTTAAACTTGCTTCTAAACATAATCTCGAATCATAAGCCAGTTACCAGAACCACAAGACTCCAGCAAACATAGTTGCGTATTCAGTTTATTTTAGGAAGCAGCATATAAGGCATCAAGAGTATTTTGCAATGTGCTCCTGATTTGCCTTCCAGTTCTCTAGAAAATGTGTTCATCTGCATGACTTCTGTCACTGGGGGACTAAAGAGGAGAAAGGAGCTGTGCAGAGCTATGCAGGTGCCAGGCACAGGCTGGCATTTTCTGGGTTCTAGGCTAGTCCGTCCTCCAGTGTGGGCGGGGTGCACTGAGGAGCACGAGCAGGAGCCCCTGGCAGGTCAGAGGTCATTCTACCAGGATGATTTGCCCAGCGTCACCCAGCATCCCCTGCGGAAGCCAGCGGGAAGCCAGGAAGGACCAACTCAGGGGAAACAGGGTTCTCCACTGGAGCGATGCCTGTGCCCCTGGCCTGTCCCTTCCAGTAACAGCACCTCCCTTCAACCACACAGTTGACAGTGGAACTCTGGACCCCCCGTGCTCAGAGGCAGCCAAACAGAGAGAACTGGACAGCTTCACCTTGTCCTTAGGGGAGCCAACAAGGAACTTGCCCTCCCGCTGGGTAAAGGAATGCGGTCCTCCACCCTCCCCTGTCAGGGCATGACCACTAACACACTGAGGCTCCCAACGTCATCACAGTGGAGAAGCTAAAAGCAACGATGACAATAGCAACCGAATATTTCCATCACCCAAGCACATCCCTGCTATGATTCTCCTGGCATGAGGTGCTCCTGGGGGGAGCCAGCTCCAGAATGAGTCCTCCTGACCACAGGGTAGACAGTGGCATTTAGGGTTGACTGGCTGCATCCAGCATGGCCGTACTTTGCCATACTCTGCATTCCTTGCAATATTTTTTCATTGGTAGAATTGTTGTCCCCTTAAAACTCCTACTCCCAGGGCCTCAGAATACAACTGTATTTGGAAATGGGGCCTTTAAAGAGGTCATGAAGATGCGACCACACGAGCGGGCCCTAATCCAGGTGACTGATGTCCTCATAAGAAGAGGGGAGTAAGATAAAGACTATGTAAAGGTGCGGAAAGAAGAGCCACCTGTGAGCCAAGGACAGAAAAAGCCAGCCCTTCCCACACCTTGATCTCAGGCTCCAGCCTCAGAATTCTGAGAAAATAAATCAATCCAGCCAATCTGTGGTGCTTTGTTATGGCAGTCCAGGTGAACAAACGCTATATGTAAATATTTAATGAGTGCATTTAATGATCTTATGGGAACGCCCATGAAGGTAAGATTGCTATTATTATTCCATTTTCCAGAAGAGACAGCTGACACCTGAGGTCACATGGGTGGGGGCCAGGAGACAAGGAAGCCCCAAATCGGCCTTCGCACCAGAACATTTATGCACTCTGCTGTGCTGTGTACAGCCAGATGCGGCTCTCGGCGGCCAGTGAATGAAAATGACTCTTGTGGCCTTCAGCAGAAAAGTCATTCACAGAAGGACGGACCCACTGGCCCCAAAACAGACAGGGCCAGCCTTGGCACTGCCTGCAAGCCGGCCCCCAGCACCTGCACGAGCACCACCTTGGCTACTCGGGGGAGCACACTGCTGGCTCCTGTTGATCAGGACTCAGGGCCCACTCCTTCACACCCCAGCCCTGGCTGCAAGGAGTGAGCCACCAAGAATCCCTGAAGTGGCTGAAGCTGCTCCCTTTGCTGGATTCAGCCTCTGTAGTGACTCAGATGAGAGATTCCTCCAACATCCAGACAAGATTCCAACCCCAGGCAGCCAAGAGGAAGACAGCCTTGGAAAGCCTCCTGTGTGACGCAGCTGTAGAGCAGCTGAGCTGGAATGATTTCAAACAGGGTGCGCTCAGCACAGAGAGGGACTGGGGAGGAATGAAGGCTCCTTTGGGACCAAGGCCGAAGTCTTAGTCACTTTGCTCATGGCTGGGACACAACACCTGATACCCACAATGTAAAGGAGGAGAGGTTTATTTTGGCTCAGGGTTTCTAGAGATTTCAGTCCATAGTCTGCTGAACCCAAGGTAGGCCAGCAAACAGAGAAGTGCAGAGCTGGGAAGGGAGATATACTCTTCCAGGCCATGTCCCTTCTGATCAGCCCCCACCTCCTAACAACACGGCAGCTACAAATACCCACAATCTAGTCACCTTCCAAAAGCCCCACCTGCGATTGCATGAGGCTGGGGGGGGGCGGGCATTTAGATATAAACCATAACAGAAGGACTCTCTTCAGAAGATGGAGGTGGCAGCTGTGTGTATGCCCCAGGAAGATGGCTTCTTGTCACACCTGACAGCAGCTACCTCTGATGTACCCAGGCCACCAGTGCTAAGGACCCTTGGTGTCTCAAAGGCAGATGCAGAGGCTGGCCTGGAGTTGGAGGAAAGAAATCAGCATCAGGTGACCTTGGCCTGAGAATGGCCGAAAGACCTACAAACATGTGATCTCAAGACCAATTCTGTGACTCTTTCTGAGGGAAGGGCAGCAAACTGAACTTGACTCTGTGTAGGCCCTGTTTTTCGCACTCCACAAGGTTCCAACAGTGAACAAAGGACATAATCCCTAAAATGGAAGAGATGGGAAACACATGTATTCAAAGTGGAAGAATTAAATTCTCAGTAACAATGAAAGGCAGCAGTTGGATGGGCACCATGTGGCAATTCAAGTGCAATGGCTAGGTGAATTTTGAAGATAAAAATTTCTATTGCAAGGATACTAAATTTTAGACAAACTCCCTCAGACATCTTGAAACCATATTTCCCATCAGGATGAATAATTAAGACCCATTCGTAGGTGGTCAGTTTCATGAAATCTCAGGTGACATACCTTGTTATTAGTACCTGGATGAATTCTTGCACTCTGTTTACTTAGATGCAGTGTTGGGTTGTTTTTGTTTGTTTTTAATCCACTCTTAATGAAGCGTATGGAGGTTATATGATTTGTGTATTTCAGCAATAAACATCAAGGGCCGAGTTTTCTTTCTTGGCATGTGTGACATTTCCTGGAGGAGTGGGCCTGCTCACCACAGATGGGAATGCATGCTGGATGGGAAACTCTCCAAAGGAAGCAGAGCCAAGCAGGACCTGCGGGTGCCGACACACTGGAAAGCTAACCCTAAAGGCCATTAGGGTTTGCGCCTATTTAGCATTATCTTCTCATTCCTTCTTCCATTAGCACAAATAATTGAGTTTTGTAAAGTACACTGAAACTATTAAGCACATATGAGTCTTGCAACGCTCTTCCTCCTTTAGCTCTGCTTAGTGGTTTTCAAGTCAGAGCAGACATCAAGAGCCTTCCCAGAACCACCTTTTCCACCGTACAGAGAAAGAGATGGCCCTGGAAGTGTTTTTGGAAAACAAGTGACGTAACGCAGTTCTCCCCAGGTTGCCTCACCAGAGTGACTCAGAACCAGAGGATGAAGGTGGCAGCTGTGTTTGTGGCAGTCAGATGAAGTGCACAGGTGTGACAGTCCCAGGGTTCGCCTGGCATAGGAGGCAGCCCCTGCATGCTGGATGTCACTCCAACCCTGCTCCCCAGCCAAAGATCCTGCCAAACATACTCAGGTGATGAAGGGTGCCATTGAGGAGGTAATACTGCTAATGCAACTTAAAGTAAAACATTTGCCAACTTTAGTACTTTACGTCTTGCCAACAACAATCACTTTAAGTAATAGACCAACTGTGTAAAAACACCCATGGGGTATGACACCCCAACTGAGAAGACCTGCCCCAAAGTATATAATAAAACAGCCCACATCATTTTAAGTAATACACTTCCAGTCTCCAAAAAGAGGCGGCATTTGTTTTGTATAATGTTATGGTTTAGATCTGGGTATCTCCCCCAAAGCCTCATGCTGTCATAGGTGGAGCTTTGGGGAGGTGACTGGGTTATGGGTGTGTGGTACTCATCAGTGGATTAGCCCACTGATAAATTTTTAGCTAAATGGAATGCTGAGAGGTGAAGCCTGGTCGGAGCAGGTAGACTGGGGGATTGGCCCTGAAGGGTCTATCTCCCTCCTCCTCCCTTGATCTCTCTCTGCTTCCTGCTTACCCTTCCATGAGCTGTTTCTCCTCAATCAGGCCCCTCTGCCATGCAGCCTGAGTTGGAGCCACCTGACTATGGACTGAAACATCTACAAACTGTGAGCCAAAATAAACTTCTATTTCCTTAATTTGTGGGTATCAGGTATTATGTCTGAACAGTAAAGAAAATAGCTAAGACACACACTAAGCATATATTCAAAATGTAAGTGCAAACTCTCTGAAGAGATCCACATGTAAACTCAGTAGAGCAAACCAATTCCCTCTCAACCAAGCAAAGGGCTGTAAGACACCCACTTCAGTGGGGTTGCATTTCTCAGCCAAAAACTGAAAAAAAAATCTGCTGCACAAGGCCAGGAACCTGAGTAAATATTGACATTCAAGATGGCCCTGTAACATTCAAGAGGGGCTGTGGCTGTACTCGAGCCACTGGCACTGTGCTGTTCAGCCAAAGTGCAGAGGAAGCTGGACAGTCAGTCAGGAATAGAAAAATTTGTGAAAGGCAGGAGCAAAAGAAGCAAAGTGTCTACTGACCCGTGTGACAAGGAGATGTGCACAGGGTCAGTGTGACCTGGGGCCTAGTGAGGCTGGCGCTGGTAATGTCCACTGGCCTTCAGTTGCTGTGAACCAAAAATTAGGATCCCAGATCTCAGTTCTAGGGTTTCACTCTTCTGTTTGAGACTGCTTTAGCTAGATCCTCCCTTGCACACAAAACAAGACAGAAAAAATCTGTAGTGCTGGAGCAAAGCCAGTAAGCAAACCAGCTTTCACCACTGTTGTTAAAATCACTCTCGTCCTGTGAAGTCAGAATTGCTTTCACTCTCTCCTTGCGATTTCATAAACATAACTTTGCAAGAGGATCTCTACAAAGTAAATATTTAGAAGGCATGCTTAGCCATAAAAATGCCTCATTAATAAATATTTAGGAAAGAGAAAGTGTTTCTGTAAATGATACCATGATGAGCAATGACCAAGAGGAAAACAGGGCTGGGGGTGCTGCTTGGTGGTAGAGCTCTCGCCTAGCACCGAAAACAAAAACAAAACTGTAGTTAGGAATAGATGCTGAGTCTGATTTAATCTATTGCTTTGTGAACCCAGACTTATTCAACAAAGATTTGAAGAAATCCCAAAGTCTTCAGAAAATAGAATGTATTCCAAGAATTAAACCTTTGGGAAGCAAAACAAATGGGTATAAATGGTTGAAAGGCTATGAAAGGGATCTCTCTCTCTCTCTCTCTCTCTCTCTCTCACACACACACACACACACACACACAGATACACACACAGAAGTGTGGTTATGTTTTGTTGTTTTGCATTGCTTTTCAGATGTATTACGAGTATACTCTTTGGGAGTTTCTTGCACATCCAGATGCTATTACTCTGCCTGGAAAGTGTCTTGTCATTATACTAGCATTCATTCCTTCTTTCATTTCACAGAGCACCAATACCGTGGGAGAGCATGTGGACAGAAGTACATGGCCCCTAGCGTGGTGTTTGCCCTCCTCGTACTTTGAAACAAAGGAAGCAGAAATGAGCCTACCATTCTAATCCGTGCTGGCCTTTAAAAATAAAGGCCATTGGGCTCGAATTGGAAACTTCACGTCCCTGGACACCCCTCAGCCTGGCAAACAGGACAGCTGGTCACTTGGGCTGGCGCTTAGGTCAGAGCTGGCCAGGTAGGGGTGCTCATGACACCACTGGGAGGAGTGTGGGGAGGTAATAGATGGGATCGGGCTTGATGCAAATCGGGGATCATTAGCATACAGATGATAATTAACTTGAGGAAGCTGGATGGGCCCAGCCAGAGAGTGCTGAGGGCCTCACTCATCCAGGAGGGGGGCTCCACCTCCCCATGCCCACTTAGCTTCGCACTTTGAACTCTGCTGCTGGCTCAGCCCCTCTTCAGCTTCCTCTCTGGTTCTCACTTACCTGAGAGGCATTAGTTTGTATGCTGTCTCCATCGCCATGTTACGGGCCTGACTTGTAAGCAGCTGATCACTGGATTCCATTTTTTCCTTTTTCTTAGAGAAGAACCCATTTATACTCATTGTCGTCTGTATTTGGTCTCCCTCCTGCCACCTTGGCCTGTGCTCTATTTGTTTTCTAGTTGTTTCCATTCTGTTCTACTTTATTCAGTTTCTTTCTCTGTATGGGTTTTGAGAAGGCAAAGATTCTTTTAATGCTAATAACGGCTGCAAGAACAATTTAGAAATAGATTCTTAAAGTTAATGGAAAGTAACCACCAAAGTCAGCAAGACTCTGCTCTCCTTCTGTAGGAAAATAGTGGGTTTGGAAATGTCTTCCTTGCCCCTCACCCTCACCCCCACATTTGTGATACTTTAATGTGACCACTGCCATTTGGGTCACTCCGCTTGTTATTCAGCTTTCTGTCACTGGGACAAAATGCCTAGGACAAACAACTCAAAGGAAGAAAGGCTTATTTTGGATCATAGTTTCTGAGGCTTCTGTTTATGGTCACCTGGCCCTGTTGCTTTGAGCCTGTGGCAGCATGGCATATCCATTACGGCAAGAGTGAGTGGTGGAGGGGGCACTGCTCAGCTCGTGGTGGCTGGAAATCAAAGAGCCAGACAGGAAGGGGCAGGGTCCCGGCATCATCTCTGAGGGAACTTTGTCGTCTTCCATGATTGAACTTCCTCCACAAGGACCCTCTTCCTGAAGCTTCCATCCCCCCTCAGTGCCACAGACTGATTCGGGAGGACAGTAAACTTCCAAAGTATCGTACCTTATGATTTGTTTCAACAACAACAATACATTTTAAACAAGTGTTTGTTATAGTTCAGCATGCTATCATCTATGTAAAAGAAATAGGATATTAGAGATATAATGACAGAAATTTAAAAGTTCAGTAGAAAATTTGGAAAATAAAATGGAAGCAGTATCTTCTAAAAAGCAGAGTAAAAGGACAAATTGATAGAGACTAAGTAAGGGGAAAAAATAGGAAAACAGAAACCAAGCCAGGGAGTCAAGCATGTGAAAACCAGGATTTCTGGAAGGAGAAAATGAGCCTCCGCAGGGGCCCAATTTATCAAAGTGAAGATTCAGGGAAATGTCCCACGATTTAAAGACGTGTGTTTCCAGACTGCATGGCTGTTAAACTGACCACTGCACCACAAATCATAGCAGATTACAGCAGAAATCAGCAGATATCTCAAGAAAGCTCCCAAGCCTAGGAACAAAGAGAAATTTCCAGAGCATTGAGATGACTGACTCTTCAAGACAGGCTCTGCACAGCAGATGTGAAAAAAGCTGATCTCTTTGGATGGGGGTAAAATTCTGATGGGGAGGTGATAAACTTCTGCATAACTTACTGTGTTCTTCTTTTCCTTGAGTTGCCAGGAAGCTTAGGTTAAATTCTCTGCTCAGCTGCAGGCATTCTCCTTGAACGTATTTTGCTGAAATGAAAATCTTAGTTCGTATTGCAAGGCTCTCAAATATCTATTTTCTTTTTAATGGCTCTATGGCTTTGGTATTGGTTATTGTGAACTGGAGACCCGTGGGCCCATGTGGTGGAAGGAAGAGTCTCCTTTACGTCATCACTGCTTTCCGGATGTGCCCAACTGTGTGCTGCTCAGCCCTGTGCTGTACCTGTCACACAGGCACTGTGGTCACACCTAGGACTACCCAGCCCTCACCCTCTAGGAAGCCATAGAAGGAGCAGGGTTGCTGATGTAGAGAGATCTGCAGTGTGTGCCACGTAGCTTCTTGCTCACCAGGCATCCCAGAGGCCTGTGAGTTACTAGACTATGTGCTTCCGGGGCAGGTACTGTGCTGAGAAGCCAGCAAAAGCAGAAGATGACAGACAGTCTGTCAGAGGCGAGTTCTTGCAGACTGACTCTATCCGGGACAGTCTAGGAAGCCAGACCCAGAGCGGAGGGTCAGAGCACCCCTGGGCTCAGGGTAGGTGGTCTGCCCACAATATGCAGAGCAAAAGAAATGTCCGAAAGATCTTCCCACAGCAACTTGGAATGCAGATGCTGGGCAGCAAGTGCGTACACAGGATCCCAATCACTGGCCCAGAGTGCTCAGCTGAGGGATGCGGGTCCGGAGGGCTCTGTGCACAGGAAGTAAATCAGGGCGAAGATGAGGCCAGAAGTCACCCTCCCATTGCGGAGTTCACTGGGCTGCCTGTGCTGGGAGGAGCTGGGAAGGCTCTCTGAAGCCCGCAGGTGGTTCGTATCAAGAACTGGAACCTGTTTGTGTGCAGGGTACAAGCGCACAGTGCCAGTGTGCCAGAGCCTTGGTCAGCACTCTGAGATCGAGTCCTAATGTCGCTGTCTAAATGAGCCTCTGCCGGGTGAACAACCCTGTCCATGAGAGTTTAAATTCAGGTGCTCAGGGGGGAACCAAGGAGGCCCCATGGCCTGTCTTTCCAGGTGTGACTGGACAGTCTGCCCGGCGTCCACTCAGGGTGTCCTCTGTGAACCTGCCCAGTTGCCCCAGAGAAGCAGCAAGCTAACTCCTCTGGCCACCTGCCACTCGCCCTCTGCTCTCCAGAACCTCTGGGACAGTGGTTGGAGTCATCTGGGCTGATACAGGAAACAATCGGCATCACAGGGAAGAGACCACCCCAAAGCCCAGCCCACAGCAGCCCAGTCCTGGCCCTGCCTCCTCCCTCCTGGTGAGGACTCCAGCCGCAGGGCTTGTCTCCAGGCAGAGAGCTCTGGCAGCAGGGGAAGAATAAACTATGAGGGCAGCACCAAGACCACGTTTGGGTCCCAACAAGCACGCACAGCCTGGAGAGGTGGGTCTCTCAGAAAAAGAGCCAACCCCCTGGCCACTTCTTGTTTTATTTCTTGTCATTTTCTTTTCTTTTTGTTTGTGGTGCTGGGGATGGGATCCAGGGCCTTCAGCACACGAAGCACATGTTCTGCACTGAGTTACATCCTAGCCATTTCCTTTTCCTTTTAGAACTTTCTCCCAAACACGCCTCATACTAGTCAGCTTTCCCATTGCTAGGACACAATAGCTGATACACATGACTTACAAGAGGAGAGATTTGATTTGGCTCACATTTTAAGAGGAATCAGTCCATGGTCACCTGGCTCCAAGGCAGGAACATCACAGTGGAAGGGCCTGGTGGAGCAAAGCTGCTTAGTTCATGGAGACCAGGAACCACAGCAGGGGAACAGTGCCAGAGAACAAGGCCAGGGACCAGGCATAGACCCCAAGACCACACCTCCAGGACTCACCGAGTCTTAGATACACCAGTAGGTGTAGTCCACCAATACCCCAGCCACTTCTGTTGCCAATCAAGTGACATTCCAACCTCATTGCCACACATGTGATGTGCAAACAAAAGCTCAAGTTGTGCTCCTCTTCAGGCACTTGGTCTTCACTTTTATAACCAAGATTCGGGACAGAAATAAGAAATGGACACAGACTCAGGCCTGCCATGCGCAGTTAGCCAGGCCCAGAGCAGCAGCTGGAGTTTCAGACTTCAGAGCAAGGCAGATCTAAGTGCCAGCTCTGCCCCAGCGGTATTCCAGCTGTGATGGTAGCCAACTCATGCACATTGTCTCAGTCTTGGTTTCCTTGAACTTAGAGTGGAGAGCTGCAAGTTCAAGCTCAGCCTAGGCAACTTGGCAACATAGCATGACCCTGTCTCAAAATAAAAACGGACTGGAGATGTGGCTCAATGTGAAGGTCATGGATTCAGTCCCCAGTACCACCAAACAAAGCAAAACAAAACAAATATCCAAAGCAACATATGCTGGCCGGTACCATCTCTCCCCAGTGAGAAATAGGCTATGTAGTAATATTCTCAAGTTTCTTTTTTCTAATCCCAAAAGAGCCATGAAAACAGAAATGTGGCTAAGAGGGGGGAAAAAGTCTTGTTTTCACCCAAGATAAAAAAGAAGGAAAAGAGAGGGAAAGAGGGAAGGAAGAGGAGAAGAAAAAGAGACAAGACGCTTTCTTCAATGTCTTAAGCAGTACAAAAAGGCCAGTAGATTCAACAGCAAGGCAGAGGAAAAACTTCCAGCTTTCCTAAGGAAACTGCAAGCACATCCTGCTGACATACTTGAAAACATGCATTTATTAATTATTATTTTATTATACATTGATAAATTATAATTATATACCTATGTATTTATGGTGTAGAGAGTGATGATGTAATTTATGAACACAATTCAGAATAAGTAAATCGAACTAATTAACATGTCCACCTCAAATACTAACCATTTTTGTGGTGAGAATGTTTGAAATTTACTCTTAGTGACTTTGAAATGCACAACATACAACTGTTTATTCTATTTACCATGAAGATCTCAAAAAAACCCCTATTCCTCTTGTCTAAGGCTTTGTGCTCTTTCACCATCATCTTTCCATTCCCTGCACCCCAGCCTCTGTAACCCTGTCTTACCCTTTGCCTCTGTGTGATCAATTTTCTTAGATTCTTCAGAGAAGTGGAAGCAAGTGATATTTGTCTTTTTTTGTGCCTAATTTCACTCAGCAAGATTGTTCTCCAGTTCCATCCCTGTTGTCAGAATGTTCTTCTTTTTAAAGATGGATAGTAGTACTTTGCGTACACGTACCACATTTTCTTTATTCTCCTATTGATGGGCACTGAGATTGATTGCAGAACTTAGCCAGTGTGACTAGTGCTGCAGTGAACACTGATCTCTAATCATTGGGTAAATACACACAAGTAGGATTGCTGGACCATATGGTAGTCTGATTTTTAATTTTTTGAGGGCTCTCTGTACTGTTTGGCTGTACACATTTACATTCCCACTGACAGTATACTAGCCTTCCATTTTCTCCACATCTTCAACAATACTTACTCTTCAATTTTTGGTAATAGCTATTCCGATAGGTATAGGTTTATACCTCATTGTGGTTTGCATTGATTAGTGCTATTGAACTTTGTTGTTTTTTTGCTATACATCTGTTGGCCATTTGTATCCCCTATTTTGAAAAATGTCTATTCAGGCCCCTTGCCTGTTTAATTGGAATATTCTTTTCTTTCTCTAGAGTTGTTTTAGTTCCTTATACATTCTGGATATTAATTCCTTACAAGGTGTATGGCTTGTAAATATTTTCTCCCAATCTGTAGATTGTCTCTTCACTCTAGTAATTGTCTCCTTTACTGTGGAGAAGTATTTTTAATTTGATATAATCCCACTTGTCTATTTTTGCTTTTGTTTCCAAATCTAAAAAATCATTGCCAAGATCCCTATCATGGAGGATTCCCACTCACGTTTTCTTCTAGTAGATTTACAGTCTTTGGTTTTATGTTTAATATACTTTGAATTGATTCATTCTTGTGTGAGATGATGGTCCAATTTCACTCTTCTGCATGTTTATATCAGTTTTGCCAACAGCATTTATTGAAAAGATTGCCCTTTTCTCATTGTATATTCTTGACACCATTACACAGCTTCATTCCTGGGCTCTCTCTTCTGTTCCATTGGTCAGTGTGTTTATGTCAGTGCCCTGTTTTAAATACTATTACGTGTAGTACAGTTTGATGTCAGCTAGTGTCCTGCCTCCATGTTGATCAACTTCCTATTACTAGGACAAAATGTCTGACATACATGACCTAAAGGAGGAAGGATTTATTCTGACTCATGGTCATGGAGTCAGTCCATGGTTGGCTGGCTCCAGGGCAGAAATATTATGCCCGAAGGGTGTGGCGTGGGAAAGCTGTTTTCCCGGCTACAGCTGGGAGCAGAAGGCAGAAGAGCCAAAGATGAAGCGGGCAGGAATCAGACATAGTCCCCAAGGTGAGGGCTTCAGGACCCACCAGACTGCTTCACCCATCTCTTCTGACTCCTCCAAGCCAGTCAAGGTGACAGTCAATATTAATCTCTTTTTATTTCCCCATTGTATAAGTCTTTCTCCTCCTTGGTTACATTTATTCCTAAGTATTTTATTTTATTAGAACTATTATAAATGAGATTGTTCCCTTGATTTCTTTTTGAGAAAGTTTGTTATTAGTGTAGAGAAGCATCACTGATGTTTGTGTGTTGATTTTGTATCCTGCAACTTTACTGCATTCTTTTATGAGTTACCACAGTGTTTTTGGTGAAATTTTTTTCAGAGTTTTCTACATATAAAATCATGTTGTCAGCCAACTGGCAATTTTACTTCATTCATTCCTAGTTTGATGACTCAATTCTCTTGCTTAATTTCCCTGTCTTCTGGTACTACATTCAACAAAAGCAGTGGGAGTGGGCATCCCTTTTTTTGCTCCTTATCTTAGAGGAACAGATTTCAATTTTTGATCATTAAATACAGTGTTAGCTATCAGTTTATCATATAAGGTCTTTAGTGTGCTACAGCACAAATTTACCTAATTTTTTCAAATACTTTTTCTGTATCCAATGAGATCACATGGTTTTTGTCCTTCACTGTGTTAAGGCGTGTGTCCCATTTATTGATTTGTACAGATTGGACCATCCTTGTGTCCCTGGAATAAATCCTACTTGACCATGGTGAATGATCCCTTCAATGTGCTGTTTGCCTGTACTTTCTTGAGAATTTTTGCATCTGTTCACTGAGGTTACAGCCTGTGGCTTCCTTTTCTTGTGGTGCCTTCTCTGGCTTTGATGGATGGGTGATGAGACTTTAGAAGTATTCCCTCCTCTTCAGTTTCTTGGGGAAAGTTTACAAAGGATCTAGATTAGCACTTCTTTAAATATTTGTTAGAATTCGGCTGTGAAATAATCAGTTCTCCGGCTTTGTTCTGTCTTTCAGGTAGGAGACTTTAGTCACTAGCTCGATTTCCTTACCTGCTACTGATCTGGTTTCTAGCTCTTCTCAGCTCAATCTTCTTGGGCAGTCTGTGTCTAGCATGTGTCCGTGTCTTACAGGTATCTCATTTGTTGGTGTTTGATTGTTCACAATAGTCTGTTAGGGTCCTTTGTATGTCTACAGTGGCTGTAATATGTCTTGTTTTTCATTTCTAATGTCATTTAATTGAGTCTCTTCCCTTTTGTTTCTTAGTTTAGCCTAAGGTTGATTGGTTTTATCTTTTCAAAGAATCGACTCTTGCTGGGCAGGATCAGCAAGGGGATCACAAGTTTAAGACAAGTCCGAATAACTTAGCCAGACCCTGTCTCAAAATAAAAAATGAAAAGGGGCTGGGCATCGCTAGCAGAATGTCTCCGGGTTCAATCTTCCCTACCTGAAAAGGAAGAGAAAGAAGGAAGAGGAGAAAGAAGAGGAAGAGGAAAAGGAAGACTAACTCTTAATTTTGTTGATATTTTGTGTTACCTTTCTAGTGTGGCTTTTAAGGCAGGGTCTGGCTGTGTCGCTCAGGCTGACCATGAGCTTGAATCATCCTGCCTCAGCCTCCAGAATTCTGGGATTATAGGCCTGTGCTGCTACATCCCCCTCTAGTCTCTATTTCATTTATTCCTGCTCTGGTGTTTAGTATTTTTTCTTCTGCTAATATTGGGCTTGGTTTTCGCTTCTTTTTCTGTTTCCTTGAGGTGTGATGTTTATTCGAGATCTTTGCTGTACCTGGAAAACGCAGATTTAAACCCAGGTTGACATGACCAGTCGTAACTGACATTTTGCAAAGGAAATAAAGCAGCTTGACCCAAACCACGTGGAAAAGCCAGGTGCAAGGAAAAGAAGCCAGACTAGACCAGTCTCAGGCCTTGGGAAGCAACTTCTGCTGATCTAGAAAGTTTGGATTTTTCTGTAGGTCCTGCCTCTTCCTCAACCCACAGTCGCATCCCTCCTGCCCCTCCAGACACAGGGAGCCGCTTGCTCTGTGCCTGGAGTTTTCTCAAACCCCCTGATTTGAACCTGCAGATTCTGCCCGGATGCCTGTCCTCCCTCTCTGTTCCTGAGCCCATCAACAAAAGGCCTTTCATCACTCAGCTCAGAGGTGCTCACTCCTGGGGTCCACTCTGTGCCTGACACCCCCAGCTCCTCAGGGCTCTGCAGAGTGACGTCTGGGGGCTCGGGGCACACTTACCTCCCTCTGCTCTGCTCCTACCCCACCATCCAGCACACGGTGAGCATGCCAGACACATTTACTAAATGCGAAAGTGAATAAAGGAGCAGAGTAATGACTTTCTTTAGAGGTATTTCTGGAAGTTTTCTTAAAGTCAAGCATTTTGTCTCTCTGTGCCCTGTCTGGATTTTGTGTGGCTTTTCTGGACTGTAAGCCGAGAGTCCAGTGCTCCTGGCACCCCCTGGTTACAGCTCTGTGCGTGAATTAATGAAGGACAACAAGCAGGGTACAGGAGCACAATGTTTAGAACTGGAGGGACAGTGGCAAACAGCTTACCCGACACCTTCTGACTGACAGGAGACTCCCTCTCCTACAGCAGCGCCTTTAAAAATTCTTGGCAAAACAATCCAAGGCTGAATTGAAGGGCAGTGAGCAAGGACTGGGCAGCGTGTGGAGGCCTCTGAAGCCCCAGCATGTCTCCGTGCTTCAGTTCTCCATCTCCCTCTTCGGGTCTCCTCAGGGTACACAGTTCTCCCGAGGCTCGGGGTCTCTCTGCCGGGACCCTGGCCCACTCCTTTCCCTCTGGCTCTGCTGTCACATAGGAGGCCGCCTCCTCAGCCCTCCAGCCTGGACCAGGTCCCTTCTCCTCAGCCCCTGTGTTCCCTTCCAGGTCCTGCCTCGCCCTGCAGATGTCCCACCTCCTGCCTGTGTCGCCACACCAGGACCTCAGCAGTGGACAGCCTGTCTGCCTGTCCCCTGGGCTGTCCCAGCCACACCCAAGGGTCGGCACAGAGGAGGAACAGAACTTTGCCATTCTCGGGGCCTGGGAATTACACAAGTGCTGCCTTCTTACTCAACTTAAACACACGGAGGGTGTTTATCCAGGATGTGTGGATGATTTTTGTTTCTTGGTGGTTTTGAGGGGAAGGGTGGATATTTTCTTTGTTCTTAAGTATGCAAAAATTATTTCTCCATCCCTGGTATTTCAGTTGGAAAATACATTTGAAAGGAATGACTTGTGGGCTCGGGGTGCAGGTCATGGGCAAAGCTGTGGGTTCCATCCCAGTGTTGAAACAAGAAGGAAGAGAGGGAGGGAGGGAGGGAGGGAAGGAGGGAAAGATTTAATATGTGTAGTCATAGTTACGTAGATATAAAAATCACGCCTTATCCATAAACAGCATGCCATTTTGAGTTGAATTCACGCTTAAAATACAGACTTTTCTTTTTTCAAATCAGGAAAGGTCCAGGTGTGTGGAGTAGCATAGTCTCATTTCCGAGCTCCCAGAACCCAGTTTTATGACTTGGGTTGACTTAATGCAATAAAACAAAATTAAGCCCTGCTTGATTGCTGTTTTTGTCCCAGTGCTGGGGATGGAACCCAGGGGATCACACGCACTAGGCAAGGGTCCCCCACCGAGCTACACCCCGGCCTACAATTCACTTAAACTGTTGGAGGTTTTTTTGATTTTTTAAATGGCAATTAACAAATGACAAATGACAATAGGCTGCTACAAATATGACTTTATACTGAAAACATTGTTTCTAAGAATCGTGTAAATATTTTTTCAAATTAAAACAAACTAGAGGGGTTTATGTGCAAGTCATTCAGTGGAAAACCTCTCAGATGTGTGCTTTGACATTTGTCGCTGAGGGGAAGCCTGGGTTTTCTTAGTTTTCTAAGAGAAAACTAGCTTTCTCCTCGTGTTGTCCACTTCCTGCAGGCTGAGGACATGACTGTGTGGCATGAATCCTAGGGTTTGTCCAAAGGCCCCTCCCGTACTCTGAGTGGACGACAGGGAACTGGAAGCTCCATTCTCCCACGCAGGAGATTCAATTTCTGTTATAGATTCCACTAGAAAAATAACAACCAGCATATTCATTAAGCTCTTCTTTGCTTCCTTAACTGTATTTTCATATTTTTATCCAACGTCTACCAGCGATCTAGGCGTCTCGGTCATCACCGATTTCACGTCATCCATATGACATTCTACTTTTGTCCCCTGGCCAGGATGAGACACACAGGACATGTCCACAGACAGATGCGCTCCTCACAGGCCCTGCTGTGACTTCTGAGCAGTTATTTCCTAATTCAAAGTGTGTTTTATAGGTGGCCAAGTGTTACGACATAGCACAGCGCCTGTGTGGAGTGCAGAATAGCATGCATTGCTTGGGCATAGTTCTTGCCTGAGCTGCTGTTTCTGGGAATGCTTTACCTATTTTGAGACTCGTACTTTTCCGGGCGCTTTTTGCTGTACATGGAGAACACATCCCCACAGAGGAGCCAAGCCAGCCAAGAGCCACTCCATGTGGAACCTGGAAACGAACCCTGAAGCTACCCACCCTGGGCAGCTTGTCAACCCGTTTTCCTGACGTCAGTGTGGACATCCTCTTGAAAAAGATTTCTACTTAGAATTAACTTAAAAGCGAGGCTCATTTGCTTGAGTTTTACGTGACAAAAATAACTTGTCAGTATATGTGTATATGAGTAAGAATGATTATAGTTTGTATTGGCAATTGACGTACTGTACCAATCAATCCTCTTGCATTATCTCAATTAATCTTGGCAACTATTGCACCTATTTTAAAATGACAAATCAGGTGCCCTGTAACCTTCCTTGACTTAAGTTACCCAGCTGTCCGATAGTGGAGCTGCCGTTTAAACCCAGGCAGCCTGATTTTAGAACCTACCCCATTCTGTCTTTTGCTATGTATTTGTGCATGTGTGTGGATATATACATACACATGCATATATACACATACACATAAATACACACGTGTCATATAAGCATGCATATACTTATTAATAAATGTGTAAATGCTCAGAAAAATCTTCTGGAAAGATTTAATTCTCCTCAACCGTGCGCTCTTGGGAGAGGCATTTGAAATTAGGATCAATGCTTACATTAATTCCACACATTTCTCTAATCATTTTAATCCCCAAAACAAACATGCATTATTCTTGTATTTTAAAAAGTAAGTTATTGATTTTGCTGTCTGTGTCCCCCTGGAAATGCTTGCTGAATAATTGAAGAGCAAGTCATAAAATCTGGTAGAGACAAAACAGTTCACAGAGCCAGGGATGTAGCTCAGTTGTTTTGCCGCCTGCTGCGCAAGCGCAAAGATCCGAGTTCGATCCCCGGTACCAAAAAATAAAACCAAAAAAACAGTTCACAGATGTCTCACACCTAAACATGTGTTCTCTCCTGGCTCACCCAGAAGTAAAATGCAAGTCACTGTAGAGAAAGTATAAGATGCCGTGTTCTTTTTTTTTTTTTTTTTTTGCCACTTTCTTTAAAGATTTTGACCTCTATAAATTCCTCTCCTAGAATGTAGGCTGGTCTGAAGGTGCTTGCAGCCTGGCTATACCAAGTGCTGTATCCACATGGCTGCAAGAATCCCTGCTCTCTACGGTGTCTGGGCGTTGGGTCTGTCCGCAGCACACCCTGCATGTCCGCAGCACACCCTGCATGTCCGCAGCACTTTGTTCCTCCTGATTTCATCGCTGCCTCCTCCACTGCTCAGCTGACCGAGCTCTACCTGGGCTGACCTTGGCTTTCTCGTTTGATTGCTTTTTTGTGTTTTCTCTGAGCTCCTTCATTAGTGCAGCTGACTCTCTGGGCCATGTGTGGTGTTTCAGGAATTGTCTTTTTATACCTTTTGATCATTTTCTCCTGGCTTGTCCTTTTCAAAGCTTTATAGGCTTTTTAAAAAAGTATGAATGTAATTCATTAGTGCACTGGCACTAATAGTACACAAAACATAGTGAATGCTGCTGTGTGCTAGGCACTCTTCGGAATACTTTAGACGCTGGATCTAATTTAGGAAACTGAGTCACGGAGAGGAAAATAACTTGCCAAGGAGTCTGGCACAACAGGATGGGTTCTCAGTCCCCTCCATAGTCCGCCAGACCCCGAAGCTCTCCTCCACTGAGGTCTCTGCTCCCACACCTGCCCCTGCAGACAACTTTAAATCTTTAAATCTGCAGCGCGTATTCCAGGGGTGATTGTGTCCATCCTCAGGAGTCCGCTTCTCTACACCGCAGCAAACAGCAAGATCAGAATGCGGTCCTGAGCCCTAGGCCGCCTCTGTCTCCCTGCGTCTCATCTGAAACTTCTCCACCGGCTTCCCCTCGGGCGGTCCCGCAGGAAACCAGGTTCCTGAGAGAGAGGGAGGCCGCTAAGGCAGAGGAGAGGTCGGGCTTGGGAGACTGAGAATCCAGCGCCAACCAGAGGGGTCGTGACACAGACGGCCGCCGTGCCTACCGTGTGCCTAGCGTGTGACGGCACCCGAGACGAGGGGGAGAGGGCCGTCGCGTGTCTGGGCATCCGTGCCCGCCTCTTTTCCCTCCAAAGACCTGTGCTTGCTGCTGGGCTCCCCTGCGTTGGAGAGCCCACTTCCTCAGGGCGGCCGCTGCCGTACGCTCAATGGTTAGAGCCAGGCCTCTGGCTCGCTTTCAAACTCTGACTACTTTTCTCTCGCTCAGCCTGGAAGAGGTCTGAGGCGGGGTAAATGGTTCTGACACTATGAATTGCGTTCGGCTTAGCGGGGAGCTTTCTTCCCTTGGAACTGTCAATCGCAATCGGTTTCTATTTGTCCTTACTGTTTCTAGTTTGTTTTTTGGAACAGGGTCTCGGTGTGTAGCCCAGGTTGGCCTCGAACTGGGGGCGATCTTCCTGCCTCAGCCTCCCAGAGGGCCAAGATTACAGGCCTGCGCCACCACGCCCCTCTCGACCCCCCTCCATCAGTGCGCCCCTCCGCGGCCTCACCAAGCCCTATCGCGAGTCCGCGCCCTCTAGGGCTTCCTGGGGAGGGGCGGGGGGACGTCGGGGTGCGCAGGAGCGCCACCAGGAGGGCGGGATCGGTAGCGTCCAGGTCCGCCCGCTCCTTACCAGGAACCGAGACCCGGGGCTCCAGGCAGCGCCAAACCGCTGCCGCCGCGCCCGAAGCGGTTAGAGCAGGCGGCGCCGGGGCGGGAGGCCAGGCGGCGCCACCCGGCCCCCGAGGCCCCGCCCCGCCCCTCCGCGCTCGCCCCGCCCACGACCCGGCTGCCGTCCGAGGACCGCCCCGCCCCTCCCCTGCCCCGCCCCGCCCCGCGCACCGCACCTCCCTCCGCCCGCGGGCGGGGGCCGATCGCGCGGGGCGCTGGCCTCGGACCCGGCCCCTCGCCGCCGCCACCTCCGTCCCAGGCCCCGCGGTGCTTCCCGGAGCCGCGCGCGCCCCCGGCCGGGCGAGCCCCGGACCACAGAGCCGCCGGAGCCCGCGGACGCCATTGGAGCCAGGTAGGAGCGCGGGGCGCGTCGCGCGGGACCCGAGCCGGGCCAGCGGGCGCCTGTGCCCTTCGCGCCTCGGCCCACGGAGCGGGCGGCCGGTGGGCGATCGCCGCTCCGGGCTTGGGCTCGGGGAGCGGGCGCGGGGGCTTCGGGCAGCCTCGCGCCCCCCGCCGCCCCGGGACCCCGCGGATCCTCCGGGCTCAGGGCGGCGGCAGCCTGGGCCTCGGGGCGCGGGAGCGGGGACCGGGCCGGCGCGCGGCTCCCGGGAAACTTGGTGCCCTGCGCACTCCGAGTTCTCCGGGCGCCCTCGTGGACGGGAGGCGGAAACTCCGGCGCCCGGCCGGCGGTCGGTGGCTAGCCGTCGCGAGGTGACAGCGCCAGCGGCCGGCGGGGGACCGGCTCGGGTCGAGGCGCGTTGCTCTCCGCTGCCGCTGGATGTGAGGCGTCGGATCCCGCGGCTCCCAGCCCGGGCGGGCCGTGCTGGCGGGGGGCCGTGGTGTGGACGGGGGCTGAAGGTGCCGGCCCGGGACTGGCCGTGCAAGCCCGGAGGCTTGCGTGTAGGTGGGCTGGCCGTCCCTCGCGTGTGTGTGAGTGTGAGTGACCGGGAGTGTGAGTGGGGGGGCGCTCTGGCCCTTCCCAGTGTGGGGCCCGCGGAGACACCGTTCGGGGGCTGCCCAGAGCCGCCCGGCTTTCTGGCTGCGGAGAAGGTTGTGGAGCCTGACGGGTCACTGACACCCGAAAAGGGATACTGTGCTGGATTTTGTCCGTGCGATTCCTTCCAAGTGAGTGCAGCAAATCGGTCCTGTGTGATGATCAGTCATAGTAAAGTTCTGGTAACTTTCGTTCTGATTCCCAAACCAGCGTGTGCAGGAAAGGTGGGAATCCGCACCCCAGCAGAGCCATCCTCGGTCCTGTAGATCCTGCCCGCCCTTCATATTTACATTCCTGGGGTCACTGCCGCGCCTTACGTTACAGCCAAGGCCTTTCTTGCTGAAACCAAAGAACCGCCTGTGTGCAGCCCTGCCATCCCCGCACTTCTGAGTGTGCTTGTCTCCGAAGTTTGGGGTTTGCCCTAGCTCTCCGTGCAGCAGTCTCTACCGGCCCCGAGTCCCTTCTGGGGGCTGGTTCTGCCTGAGATTGTGCACATGGTTCGAGAGACCTGGTGCCTCTCTGCCCTCGCTGTGGCTTTGGTTCCTTGCCTTGTAAAAATGACGGTAATGATCTTCCATCTGCTTCCCGGGCCACCATAAAAATTAATGGGTGGTTTGCAGGGCGCTTGACATCCCCGATGACCGAGTCTGTACTTCAAGATGCTGGGGAGCATTTTGCTGTTCTACACTGGCATCCAATAAAACAAAAAAAGCTGCCTCTGACCTGTGCACCCTGCCTAGGAAACAGACCCCAGGCGTGTCAGATGGACACTGGGGGAGTAGTTCCTGGTGTATGCCTATGCTCACAAGCCCCTTCCCCTAGAGCAAGGGGTCACCGGCTTCCTGCTCCACTGCCTGAGCCTGGTGCTCACAGGGCTGCTGTGGAGGGGGAGGTTGGTGCTGAGAAACCCTCAGAGTGACTGGCCTGGCTTTCTAGGGCCTGTGCATGGCTCCTGCTCACTTGGAGAACAATGCCTGGCTTGGGGCTCGGCTGCTGAGAGGCTTGGAGAGGCTTCTTCTGGCCTTTTTGATTTTGTGCTGTCCCGAGGAGGTTCAGGCACGGTGGTTTAATGCCCTTGAAAACGGTCCATAGGAACACTCACCACCTGGTGAGTCCTGGTACCACAGCCCCTGCAGGAGAGGCGTCTCACTGTTCCCTTGGTCTAACCTGCTTTCCCCAGAGCCAGGGCAGAGGGTCCTTTTTCCAGGGGCCACCCTTCCATAGTTTCATTTTTACTGTTACTCTCCCAGCCCTTTTTGCCAGGCCAAGTCTAGTAGCAGATAGCAGCCCAGATAGGTTTGGAAGGACCCGAAAGTGGGCTGAGTGAATTGCTGATAAGATCTCTCGCCGGCCCATTGTCTGGTAATACAGATTGTGTTGTTGATTTTCTGCGTGCTGAGAGGAGAGGGGACTCTTCCTGGAATCTCTCCTTTGCTCTGTGCTAATCCAGCAGCCTCGAATTATTTCCCTCCGGGCTGTTTGAAAAGACTTTCTTCTTATTCTAATGCTGGTTCTTAGTCTGATAATAAGCTGTGGATGAATGCTGAATGGGGTTTGTGTCCCTGGGTCCTGGGAGACCTCCTGGGTGTAACTCCTCCCCCAGCCACCTGGCAGCTGTATCCCCTCCCCCTGGGCCCACGGGAGGTTGGGAGCCACCTTGGGGAGCCGCCCACCTGCTCAGGCTGGCTGGCTGCACCCCTGGCTCGGGGTGTACCTCAGTAGCTCCCTGACTAGCAAGCAGCCAGCCCTGTGGGTTTCCCTTTCCTTTGTTATTTTCAGACTCTTGGGTTCTGTTATGATTCTTCTTCCGAGAATTGGAATCAGGCCCCTGGGACGGTTCCCAGGGCCCTGGAGATGGGCACCAGAGCTTCTTTGTCCCAACGCGGTGGCCTGACAACCAGGAAGCCGGAAAGGTCAGCTGGCAGATAACCCCACTTCAAGAGGAGTGCTGGGGGCACTGGGCCATCCCTGTGTGCACCAAGGCTTCCGAGGCTGGCTGCTTGCGCAGTAGAAGTCCCACATCCAGTCACTACCCTTTCACAGGGTGACAGAGTAATTCACCGAGCCCCAAGACACCCAGCGAACAATCCAGCTACTCACTCAGTGTCCTCCAGGAAGCCTGGGCCTGCTCAGGGCATCCGTGTGTTATGTCACTCGGCACCTGAGCCCTGGGGAGCAGCTCCTAGAGGAAGGGGTGCCAGCAGCCAGCATTTAGTGGATGGGGGTGCACCATGTGGGGAAACAGAGCAGTGTGGGCGCTCTAAGCGGGGAAAGGTGAGATGCCATCCAGACCACGTCCCTTCTAAAACCATCCGTAAACAAATGCGGCTTGGAGGGAGTTAGACGGTGTGCTGAGTCTATCAGATGTGGCTCAACATTTGGGGTGTCTGGAGGGGTACAAAAGGAAATGGCTTTTGGAGGGCTAGTGTGCACACTTCCTGGTCTCCACAGGTACGTTGTAGGGTTGGGTTGCGTTTTACCAGAAGCAGCGGCAATTCAGGTAACTCCTCCATTCTCAGCCCCGTGTGTGCTTGAGCTGGGATTTGGACCTGGATCTGGCCCGTCCAGAGCCCCTGAGCACACTCAGTGTGCTGAGACTGAAGACACCAGTGCTCTCAGCCACGCACTGGGGGCTCTGAGATGCAGGCCTGGCCAGGGCGGGGTGTACCTCCTTGTGCAATGACTTGTACTCTGAGGGTGGTGAAACCCTGCATACCTGGCAGCCTCCTCAGCCTAGTGGTGGAAGGCAGCCAGGGTGCACCCCATTCCCTCGCCCTGGCTGCAGGGTAAGGCTTCGTGTGTTTGGAAGATGGTGATTTTGAAGTAGGGATGGCTCAGACAGGATCCGGTATGAAGTCTGTCCTTGTACGGCAAAGAGAGGATTCCGGGCAGCTGAGGTCACTAGAATAAGATTATAGGAAGGCTATTAAGTAAATATAAGATAAGGTTCCACCTTCTTCCTTACAGTCAAATAAATGGCATAGTAATAATCTCAGTAATGTGATTATTCTTATCTGCTCAATAAAAGGTTGTCTCAGGGGAACCCTCTGCTGATGCCTGTGAGCCCAACTCCCCTGAACAGGTTGGAAAGAATCCTTTCTTTCCCAGGATTGTAGCAAATTCTCAGTCTTCCACCTGAGGCTCAAGGAGCCTCCTGAAGTCTGCCGGTCTTAAACAAGCATTTCTGGCCTCGGGTGTGGGAACCTGCCGTGGGAATCTGCCGAGGAGGAGAGACAGCCCAGGTGATACCGTCTGCCACGCTCTGCGCTGTACACACGCCCGCCACGGCTGATTTCAAGCTGCCAGGGGGAGTGGGGTCCGCAGTAAATATTTAACAACCTGTGGGAGCCGACAGGAGCACCCGCAGCCCTTACAAGATGATGAAATAGTCACCTGCCCAGTGCTTGGGCCTTGTGTGCCTAGGAAGAGCCGAGCAGAGAAAGGCTTTGGTCACTGAGTAACCTACTGTGGCCGCGAGGGTGGAGTGCTTCAGAACTCACCCAGAGGCGTGGTGGTAACAAACTTTCGACCTGGCCTAGTGGATCAGAAGAGGTGTCCCTGCTGTGTCTGGGTGGGTCTGGGAGACGTGACCTTGGGGCCTAGGCCTGACCCCTCCCACATCCTCTCTGGTGCTGACCTCCTGCTCTGCTTCCAGCCTGCCCAGAGCCACGGCTTTGCTCCACCATTCGCTTCCACCGTGATGGTCCTGCCTTGCAGCCAGCAGACCATGGACTGGATCCCCCCAAACCGTGTGCTGAATTAACCCTCTCTCTGCCCCTTTAAGTCTGACTGTCAGGTATTGTGTCCAACGGTGGGAAAACTCAGACCCTTTCTCGAGCAGCGCAACTGGACAGACTCTGGGTGTGGGCCCCCAGCGTCTCTAGTTTGCAAAAGCTCCCCCGGGTGGTGTTCATGGAAACCCAGAGTGGAGCACCCCTGATGCACGATGGGGCTGGGGCTGGGGCTGGGGCTGGGCGTGGCAGATCCTGGACCCGAGGCCCAGAGTTGGGACTGAGCTGTGTAGAGGGACCCAAGCACCGAGCTTGTGCCCAGTTCCCGGGAGAGGCAGGCGGAGCCACGGCTGCCTGTTGTCTGTCTGACCTCAGCGGTCCTCTCCCTGTGGCTGGTGGGCAGTGTGCCTCGCATTGCTTTGGCGAAGGGCAGAAGTGTGTGGGACGAAGCCAGGGAGGAGCTCCTGCAGAAGGGTGGGCGATGAGCTGATGGATCTCCACGTTAAAGCAGAGCCCAGGAGCCCGAGCAGCTTCCGGGGCCACTTGGCTGCTGAAGGGCCATGGCCAAGGACTTCGTAAGAGTCCTTGAGCTTGGTTATACACATAAGTAGGTTATTTCTTCTCCAT